CTGCAGATCGCAATTGCATTTAAGCCATCCACAGGTCTAGCAGGGTCTTGCAGAGGTTTCTAACCTGCACATTATGCAAATTGTTTTACTGGGGCATCTCACAAACAGCACTGGCCAAAAAGCCACTTTTAAGAGTTGAAACGATTGCACCGGAGTTCTTTGATGTCCCTGGAAGGGCACACGGTCCCTATCCATCACTGTCCTGCTTGGCAGCACTGGGGCTGGGCTGTTTGGCCTGGGRAATGATGGATGGGGAAATGCTGGTAGAACTGTTCAGTGTAGGTTTTTCTAAGCACGGCTGAAGATGCTGCTCACGAGAGCTGGTGGAGAAGGACCACGTGCCAAAAGGTCTGTGCTCCGGAGAGACTCGCTGTCACGGGGAGGTGCGAATGCTCCGCAGAGCTGCCCTCTCCTGGCACGCTCGTGTTTCCAGGGGTCACATTTTCAAAGTGAGCKCTCCCTGTTCCGGCTGATCCGAGCAGCCGTCCGGGACTCGGGGTCTGTTGTGGTTCTCCTGCCAGCCGAGTCCTGCATCCCTAGGTACCCCAGGTACCACTAGTTGCGCTGGGATGATGCACGCACTAGATAAAAGACTTGGCACACAAGGATGCAGTTTTCTGACACTTTGCAAATTTGCTTTAATCTGTGTGAATAGTTGCCAGCCTTTGCACACACTTTTAATTTTAAGCAGATGAATACCAGTGGTATTGCTTAAATGTTTACTGAATCATGCTTTTATTCTGTTTACTATTTTTTTCCATGCCCCCAAATGTATTCTTGGATCTGCAGGAAAGTATCTAGGGTCTTTTTAAGTATTCACTTTCCAAGAAAACAAACACGACAGAGCAGCTAAAATTCAGGCTTGATGTAACCAGGGCTATTTTCTCCGTGTCTTTTGCATGGTTTCTTAGGTTTCCCTTTCCAAATGACAGGTCGATGAATGTAGATGGTGCCTTTCTGAGCCCAACAGCCTTTTCCAGGGTTAAAACAGAAAGTAACAATTGCCAAATCTTTTAATTTCTGGGCCTCGCTGGCTGCAGTGCCTGTTAACCCTGGAGGACTGCTGAAACACTTGTGCGCTGTCGGCCCTTGGCCAAGCTTCGCATGCTGCAGATGAAGTAATGCCATACCTGCCCATCTGTTTGCCCTATTGCTTTGCAATAGTTGGAATAAAAATCTAATTTTGCATGATTTTCTGTGACGTTGTTTAGAAACAGTCCAGTCGCATGCGTCTGACTGAAGATTGCCCCRTTAGCGAACGTGAGCGATGGTTGGTAGGGCCCGACTGCCCCAATCTCTGTAACCACAAAATTGTGCTCAGGTGGCACCGTCCGCCTGATTCCAGCTCCGTGTGTTGATTCATATTTCTCTGCTGCAAATGGGGCAAATTAGGCTGCAGTCATCTCCTGCATGTGAAGTATGTTGTGTCTTTCCTGGTGCACAGGCTGCGGGGCTGCCCAGCRAAGGCCAGAGGTGCCACCTGTGTTGTCATTTGCTCCACTGAGACCTAGCATAGCTTGGGGGCTTTGGTAGGCTTAGTTGTACTTAGAGCTAAATGCGGGCGTCTTTTTGAGGCAAAATAAATGATTTTGAGACTCATCGAGAGAGCCCAGACCTTAGCAGGAGGATCTTACCTGYGTTACTCATCAGCACTCCCCTGGCTCTGGCTGGAGCAGTTCAGCTAATTAAAATTCCTTTTACCTCCTTTTTTCTTTATGGTATCAGGTGGTTGGTTACAAGAACCTTCATTTTGTGTCTCAGACTGCTCTAATGTGTAAAGCAGATGCCGTTTTCCACCGTGCAGTGGCCGCATTTCAGCGGCAGCTCCAGTGATCCTCTGGCATAAAACCTGTCACTAGCTCCTGCCTACCAGGATCACAGCACCTGCTTTGACCCAGACACAGAGAAGGAGGTGAMGCTCTCACATGGTGGGTCCTTGTGAAGAGTAAAGGGCTGGTTTGGGTTTGTCTCACCCGCTGTCCACTCCTGGCGTGRGTAGCTGCGTGTAGGTACGTATACATATATACACATATATACAGGAGCTGATTAAATTGGGAGTTTGTCTGAGTATTGGGCTGGTGGATTCACACATGAAATACTGACAGCTCCTCACGTGCGAGTCGTCAGGCCCACTAAAATTTTGGGACCGATCTTAGTTCCAGGGAAGCCAGTTAAAAGCCTCTGTCCTTAATGTTTTCTACAGAAAAGCCTGAGACTGTAATCTTAGGAGAAGGTAACGTGAGACCTTCGTGGCAATTTAAGAAGGGCCACAGTTGAAAAGGAAGGAGAACAGGTTCCCTTTGTACTTGCCCACGTTCCACTTGGCATCCCCGGAGGCAGCATAGGAGGATTTCAGCCCTCAACGTCCACACAATCCCTCATTTTCCAGGGGCAAAGCGGCTCGTTATGGAAGAATGAGCCCTCTTCCTGGTAAGCCTGGAGTGGAAGGAGATCACTGATTAAAGCTGAGGCTTTTGATTAAATAATAAGGCTACTTTCAGTGATTAAACAACAAAAAAAAAAAGGTATTTGGGGGGCTGCTTTTTGCAGAGGGCTCAAATAGGCCGCAATTAAAGTGCGAGCGAGAAAGCGAGTGKCGCAGTTGTCATTTTGGAGGCTGGGACAGTGCATAGCGTGGAAGGGGAAGCAGCAATTTTGGGATTATGCTGTTATTCAGCTGTAACTAGATCACTGTTTATTTGTGTTTCTGGAAGCGTGGTCACAGGCGTGCATTGTATTTACCTCCGTAACTCAAGACACACAACGCTCTGTCACTCATCGCAGATAAAAGGCTTCAGCATCCTTGGGTAATTACGGAAATTTTATTAGCTCTGATGAGGCAATGATAAAAGGTATTGGGGTTTTCATTTCATCCTTTGGAAGAGCGCCAATTTTTCAGTTCGTACTTGCCATTTATTGCAACAAGTTTTAAAGGGCTGTTCTTGCAAATCTGTTTCTGTGAGGTTTTTACCTATGTTCCCAAAGCATTCGTTTCCATAATCATAGTCTTTATTACAAGCAGAGCCGAGGCTAAGAATTTGTCCTCCAAATGGACAGTCATTTGTCCAGTGTGTCCCATTGCCATCAGTGTGTCCATCTAGCAGAATGCCCCTGCGTGTAATGCTGCTCYGCTTGCACGTACGGTCCCAGGTCTCTGGAATGACTGTAAGAAAATGGAAAAGACAGTTGAAATTTGTTTGCCTGTGTTTCACACAGCTGGTATGGTTGTGATTTTTAGTGTTTACAGTCATGTAAAAGCCTAAGGTTTGGGGGAAAAGGGCAGGGCTAGCTTTAAATTATCACTGAAAGGGAATAAAAAGTCATAGAGAAATGTCAGGAGATCTTGATGAACGTGTTTCCGTGGGAACTGGAAAAGAGACCAAGCCACAAAATTAAGAACTAGATCCAGATTTCATATCCTTTAGCCTCACCCCTGAGGGAACGAAGAATTCAGAACTAAAGTACCACAAGTTCAGATTAAGTTTTTCCTTTGAACCATCTCTTGATAGCCCTGTATTCTGACAGTCTCTTAAGAAAGGTCAGTACGAGCAATACCTATTAGTGGCTTGTGCACCTGAACGTGCCAGTTATATCCCCTATGAGACTAGGCATAAATGCAGTTTCTTGTTAAGTATTCCCAGGCTTTTAGCGCAATGGTTGAAACTGGCACTTTGCTCCATCTTACTGAGCTGCCTACAAAAACATCGTGAGATGTTTCCTGCTTTTCAATGAAATCAAAGGGGAGAACTTACTTCCACTGTGGCCTCTAAACTGATAAAAAGCAACTTTTTGTTTGCAAGAAATAGACAAACCTGCCAATTTTGAGGGCTTCTTAGCTTTTTTTTTTCTTTTTTCTTTTTTTTATATTAATTCGATTCCAAACCAAGCCAACCACAGGGTAACACCAGAAGCCACACAAAACTAAACAATCYAGTGCTTTATCCCCACTATTTGGGTTTTTGTGGCAATTACTATTTATGTCAGAAAGCTGTGATACTACTTTTCATTTCTAAATATCATTATGTTAGGGGTGAGCAAGTTGTGGCAYCAGAAGGGGGTATCCCCCCCTTATTTCCTGTGAATTTCAGAGAAAAAAAAAATCTTGCTGTGGAGTGAAAAATTCGCTTTAATACAGTTATAATAATTGAATTAAAGCGGTTTTCAGTAGCAATATAACCTGCCAGTTTTGACTTGGCAAGAAATATACACCCTATATGACAAAATATGCTTATGCTTATGCCAAAGGCATTCATGTATGATGCAAATTGAGTTACCTGTTGTGGTTTCAGTTTGCAATTTAAGTACAGAAACACTTATGCTTTTCTGTTTTTCAGCATTATTTCAAGCAAATTTTCTTCCACTAAGCACTCTGGATTTCTGCTTGATCACCTGCTAACTGAGATTTTCATGAGCTTGAGTCATTTAATTTATTACATAAAGTGAAGTGAGCTAGAAAGACTCATGAAGAAGGAACACTGTCATTTACCTCAGCCTGTCTTCGCTTTCTGCCTTGCTCCTTGTCTCACTCCTTCGTCTCACTCACACAATCATTGATGAGGAGTAGAAATGTTAYCACCTCGCAGAAAATTGCTCATTCCTTATCACGTTTATACTGGATTGGAGTCTTGCAGGGTACTTAAATGGAATAATGCATCATTTTAAGATGATGCACAAGTAAAAGCGAGGCCTAGGTAAAAGCAGCTGGCCTGAGCTGTGCAAATTCTCCTCTCCTCGAAGCCCACGGATTCCCCTGCTCCAGGGCCGTGCAGCCAAAGCCCCACGTGCGCAGGTGTGGATCTCCTCAAGCCTCGTCCTGCTGTGGCTCTGCTTTGACAGAGTTCCCCTAGAAGCACAGGAACTTTACTCTCATAAATGAAGAAAGATAAAGATTTTAAATATTTTTTTTTTGCTTTTAGTGATGTATCTTTTGATTTTCTTGTCTATCAGGCAGGAAGATGAAATAACCAGCAGAAGCAGATCCCTACTGCGTCCCCAGGGTGATGCGGGCTCTGGGCAGCAAGGAGGCAGGCGAAGTGCTGGGATTCTCCATGCCCACAAGCCCGATGGAAATGGTAAGGGAATCRCACGAGCCCATTTCTCAAAGGTCCCTCCTTTCAAGTGTCTGTTTCTCATAAAGCCATGGAGATAACTTCATAGCTTGTCCCTTTGGTGGCCACTCACCTCATCTGCTCAGCTCACTATGGTTTGAAAAGCCAAATCCTTTCATATTCACAAGTGGGAGCATCACTCCCTGTCACCTGCCCCGGGATTTTGACTCGAGCCATTTGGAGACAAAAAAATGTTGCAAAGAGCAGCTCGGGTTGAACACTGTCATCACTGCGAGTTTTGGGGGGTCACTGACGGACAAATTTCCTAGACCAAGCAGATGAATAGGCAGGGGTTGATCTTTAGGAGCTCTGTGTATCATTTGTCTTGCCGYGAGGCACACGGGGAGGGCAGCCCTTCCCAGGGAGCGCGCGGGCGAAGCTCGACATATGCTTTGTATATTCTCCATGTGTGTTCAGGCACCTCCCGTGCTGCATAGGTCCTTTTAAAAACAAATCTGGAGCAATAACAATAACAGGCTGAGTGATAACAAGAGGCAGGGGGGCGAGAGGGGGACGAGAGTTACAAAAATAAAGATCATGTGGATTGTTTTCTTTGTGTCATGTACAGGGCTGGGGATTTCTCTGGTTTTCTTTTTCTTTGAATGCTTTTGTCATTGCTTTACTTTGGCAAGAGAAGAGGGAGAGGCCTTGGGGACTGCAGGCTCGCTGCTGGGGGAGAGGAGCGGGGAGGCCAAGGAGGGGGTGTTTGCTGGGGGAACATTCCCTGTTCCTACCTGAGAAACCCCTGATGGGGAGCTAGTGGAAATGCAATGGGGGGATTAATAGCGCTTTTTTATAGCCTTTCAACCTCTCTTTTACAGGGGGGCAGCTGTAAAACATTGCCTTCAAACTGGAGACCTTCTCGGGAGTGTGAACCTGGCTTCGCACCACCACCTTCGCCCAGTGACCATGAGGAGGTCCCCACCCAAGCACATGTTTGTGCCTGTGTTTTCATTTGCCCTGGTTGCAGAAAGAGCCCTTTGGGAGACATCAGTGCCCAAGCTGGTTTAAAAGAGCCACAARTTGAATGGAGTCCCAGAAAGAGTCACTGGATCTCTTTGGCCCACAATAGTGGGCAAAAAGATGTAGGATGGAAATCTCTTCCATTCTTCAGCTTGAACTGTTTCCCCATGAGCAGCTGCACTCAGCAGGTGAGTGTCCTCCCCTAGTCCTCACTGTGTTTCACAGCAGCCCTAGGATGAGGTTTTCAGTCGCAGAAGCAGCAGGCTGCACCATCCGTGGTGTAGCAGTCGTCTGAAATTAGCTCTGGCCAAAGTTCTTCTTTCACAACCCCCTAAATAGCTTTCTTATGGATCATGAGATGAATGTGCACCAAGTGAGGCAACTGAGTTTATAATATCTTCAGGATAAGGTGAACACTTTCTAACAGATCATGACATTATCAAAGTGCTATTTGAAATTAGCTCCATATGCTGTAGCGGCACTGCAAGATTTCACCCAGAATTTCGTTTTCAAATGTTTTTCATTTGAGTTCACTGAGGGTAAATTGGAAACACTTGGGTATATCCCACTTACGAATCTGTTAAGACCCATTTAATGTTAACATATGTGGATGTGTGGAGAGAGAAAGAGGCAGGAGGGGAGAGCTGTAGGATGAGGTGAGCAGGAATAACTCTATCTACTGGTGTCTTTTGAAAACCCCAACGTTGTGTATAGTATTGCTAATAGCAGTCTTTGTGTGAATGGGCTGTGTGTCCTGCTAGAAATGTAGGAAGAAATGGGCTTTAGTGGCACTACTCTTGTCTTCCTTTGTCTTACTTGCATAAGGTTTCCTAAAATACTTTTGTTGGACTTGTGATGATAAATCCAAACTAATGGGTCACCTTGGAAAAGCCCATGAAGAAAAAAAATGCCATTTTCTCCCTGATAATTGAGTTCTGCATTTACATCTATCTGTAATAGTTGATCATGGGCAGAAGCATTAAGTGTTACATGTGTAATAGGACTCCTTAATAGGACCGTTCTAGTCCTATTAAACATCCTCAGCCTCAGTGGTGCTGATAGTATTTTTGTGGGTTAACCGCATTCTCCATAATAGCATTTTTTTCATCAAGCTGTGTGAAGCAGGTTTCCTTTGCTCAGCAAGGTATCATTCTCATAAGGGGAAAATGTAGAAGAGCCTTATCAAGGGCGCGATCTCGCTGGTGCAGGGAAGCACCAGGAGATGGTATGCAACAGCTAGTGCTGTTCCAACAACCCGTCAAACTGGCAGAAATAAGGACGTCAAGGGACTTGATTGCATAGCTGAGCCATGGCGAGGAGGATATGGTTTTCATTTTGCAAATGCTATTCATCTGAAGTCTCGAATGCTCAGGCCCACAGCATGAGTGTTTTGGAGTTTTGCATCAGAACCTGGAGTTAAGAAACACACGTGTACACCTTTACATCTGGTGCTTTTATGAATCATTTTGAGGAACTGTTACTAAGCAGCAGCTATATCGTGGCTCTTTTTTATAAAGAGGAAGGGCTGTGCTGCTCATTTTGTTTCCAAAGAATTCATTTGTTTTGCGTTCCCAGAAGGTACTTTTATTCTCCCAGAAAGGTCAAGCAGAAACATTGATGTAAGTCCTGTTTATGGCGATTTTGTTAGATTTCCAACAATTGCAATGGAACATATTTATAACAAGTATGTTTCTCTCTAGGGTGATACCATTAGTCAAAATATGCTTTCTCGTATTTCCGCTACATAAACACAAATATCTTTYAAGATTCAAACTTACTGTTCTTGAGGATTCCCACAGCCACATCTCATTAGAGGTTCAGATAACCGTGGTTCCAATATGGGATGAGAGGTTTTGTTCGGAGAAATAGYTTCAACCAACCTAGAAGGTTGAAAAACAGGATAGCATCCTATGTGCGGGCTAGGCTCTTGTCCCGAACGAGATAACAACCACAGTGAGTCTGGTACTTTAAACACACAACTTCTATTCAACATAATAAGGATGCAGGCAGGTCTGTGTTTGGTGCTTAGATGCTTTTGATATTCTGACATTTCTGTAGTGTTTTAGAATCTGACAAACGGTATTTATATTAAAGGGGCTAATATATCTGACAGCCTTGATGCAACGTAGCCCCTGACTCTGCCTATAGTCCCCCTATTCCTAAGTATGCTGCTATCCTAGCAGAAATGTGAAGAGGCAGAACCTTTCACTCATAAGACCTGCAGAAAACAAATCAAACAGCGTTACTCTGAAAGCAGTAAACCAAAAGTTTAAGGAGTAGAGCTATGGTGCAAAGCAGTTAGATGTACTCGGTTTCATTTCATCTTTCATCCATTAGCTTTGGTTGAAATAATGAGACAGTTAATCTAAAGAGTGCCTGTGCTAAGAGACAGATACTAACTGAGCTGAAAGGATTTTTTTTAGATCTCTGGCTCATAATCAACTGAGCATGAACTAATGATGGAAAGAAAAGCAAGAGGCGCTTAGGCTCATGTGCAGCCTCAGTAGGATTTGTCTGCMGTAGGATTCCTCCTGCTACAATGGGAATGAATTGCTTGAAGTACAGACCTGATTTTAGGGCGCACCAGCAAATTCATTGATGATTTCTGGCAGTTATGTTGTTGGCTGATCTATGCGTCCTAGGATCTAAGAGAGCTGAAACAGAATTTCAGGAAGAAGTTCCAAGGAATAGTGTTAAGGGCGTTGTTATGTATCACTATGTTAAAAACACCAACTACAATTTCGCAGGAAAAAAAAAATTGGCAAAATCCTGCCTACTTTAGTCTGCCAATATTTATGAGTACTCTTGAGGCTCATCGGCATTACAAGAGGAGAGTGAACCCAGTGATTATGTTACGTTCTGAAAAAAATTGGGCCAAAACTTGTTTTTCACACAGCATTTCAAGAAAATTATTTTGTTTTTCCCACAGACTGTAATGGAGGATTGATGATAAATTGCATTTTTCTCAGGGTCATCAGCTATAATTCACAACATGCCCTACACTGCGAGTGCTCAGAACCTAGGCTAGTTGAAGCTCCTATGGAAAGAGGGCAAACGGCCTTGGACCGTCAAGGGCCAGCTGAGCCGGCTGCGGTCRCTGCACTCGTGCTCTCTGTATTGAAGACCAAAGGTGACACTCATAGGACCTTTCCAAGAATGCCCCAGTTTTATAGGGAATTTATTTATCTAGAAATCTGASAGTAGGAAGAGAACATTCATTGGTGACATTACTTTCTACTGAGCTGCAACAAGACTCAGTTGTATCTCAGCAGAATTTTGGGAATCAGCTTTAGTGCAAGCAGGTTTCACCATATTTTGAGGTAGAAAGTAAGTTTAGGAATATATCTTGGCGGATAATGTTGTCTTCTGGTTGCTTTATGTCTTATCAGATATAGCTCTAGCTTTTCCACATCCAAGTCTCCATTAGAAATGAAGGTGAAAAAACCTACACAGGAATTGGAGGCAAAATGATAATGAGGAAAGTGGAGGTTATTTTTGAAGTGTAATGAAATGAAAATTACTCACTTTAAAATTAATATAAAATAAAATTAATACAAAGTAAAACAGTGAGGGAAAGAAAAAAAGAAAGGCAAAGAGCAATGAAGGTAATTGAAGGAACCTGGCAAAGGCAGGTGGGAAGACCTTTCTCCAGATGGTTATCATGAGATGATAACTCCTCACATGCATGACAATTATGATGGAATATGTCTGTCATTGCTGAGTTGGTTGAATTATCCTGAAAAGAAAAAAAAAAAATGAACAGTAGGGAAAAACTTGTGACTGACTTTTGAAAAGATATCAAAGTAATAAATAATTACAGTATGGATAAATAACARCTGAGAATGGGGGGAAATCTTCTAAAAGTAATTAAAGTTGTGCTCTAGGGAGCRGAAAAAATAGGATTAGTATATAGGATGAGAAAAAGATCTGAAGAGTAAAAACTGAAATTTGCTCCTTTYGAGTTTTTAATTAAGGTGATAAATGCTTCATCACTGAGGCCTGTAGAATTCATTGATGAACAGTTTTTATGTCACCACATTTGCAAGCTACACCTGAACTACTTACTAGGTGTTTAGGGTCTCCTGTGTGTCTGCAATACATGGTTGCTTTCTATGTTTATGCAGCTCATAGATGAACTAGGAACAAAAACATGGATTAGAGCAATGAGTATTCAGCAGCCATATCACTTTTTCTGATAAATGATCTGATAGATACCTACATAAATGCTTGTGGTCTTTTCATACATTTTCTGAGTMAAGAGCTATATGTGACTTATACGACAGTACCAAAAAATTGTTCCTAGGAGCTGAAGGAGTTCCTAGCTGAACTGCCTGTCTTGGGTATGTAGTTTAAAAGAGGCATTAGATGTTTCTTTTTTCCCCAAAAAGAACAAATAATTCTGGTATCCTAGCAACAGATACATAGCTGATTACAAATATCAGGCTTCCTATCATGGCTATTATGAAATTCATGCTAGAAATCCAATTTAATTATTTCTGTCTTCAAAATAATTTCCAGACTGACATGGATTTGGAAGAAACATGGGATGCAAATGCAACTGAGGTGCCCTCCAGGAGCTGGGTGTACGGCAGTGGAAAAGAGTGCAAAAAAAAAAAAAGTCTCAGATCAGTAATAATGGTACTGATTTTAAAAAGCTACCTACAAGTGAAGCTCATTTTTCTTGCAAGGCCTCTCTTGACAGTTTGGCAGGGAGACAGCAGTATATTTGAGAAGACCATAAAGCACTGGCATTAGTGATGTATGTGAATGCCAGGGAAGATGTGAAGTTATCTYGGAGAGCAGATTACTCAGGAGCGCTCTCTCTGCACAAGTGCAAAACCTGACAAATCTTTTGGTAGGTGTTTTACTCCCAGAGACAGATTATTAATTACTRCTGTGAATCTTTCCACATGATCCATGAAAATGGATCCAGTATGTGATCCATGAAAGATCTTTCCATGGAATATCAACATGAATACCATTCCTGTGGATCAGCTAGGATGCTGCTTTTCACTTATACTTGAGTTTGATATCTGAGGTTAGCCATGTTGCATGTAATGCCAGGATCATTGCATTTGCAGGTCAGATTTAACTCTGCATTTTGCCTCTGCCCTATGTGTATAGGTGAAGTACTGYATGCTCTATGCACTGCATACTCATGTCTATACCTTCAACAGAAACTAAAAGCACATTCATGCTCTTCTCCCCCTTTCCTTGAGATTTGTCCTCCCTGAACTGCCTCCAGGCTAAAACTAGTAATTGGAAATTTGCATCCATATTATCTGTTGTGTTCCCCATCCATATGCACAGTCTCCCAGAGCCCAGGGCAAAGATGCCGTTATGCTCAGTCACTAGCAAACCAGGTGCACTTGAGGGATCTAACAGAATGTTAATAAAAGGTCTGATGAAGAACAAAAAATAAACAAACCTGCTATTGCACCTGTAAAAATTGCTGCGATCAGGAAATTAAAAAATTACACGTTGCATATGCTGCCTGCCTACACCCAGCATGGCTCCTCGGCTCTGAAATCACGTCCACCAGGTCCATGCAGATTTTATCAGGTGAGKTTACAAAAATGCTGTGTTCTTCCATGTATCACTGAACTGACTACATACCTGACAGATTTTTCTACTTTAAAATGAACCCCCAAAGAATCACATAAATGTATGTATCTGCTGCTTGACAGATGCCATTGAATTTTGTTGAAAGTGTAAAAGGTTTGCAGAAGCTTCATCGTGCTCAGATGCCTCAAAGCTCTAAACTRCTTTAAAAGAAACACAAATAATTTGGGGGTTATAAGTCTGTTTTCCTTGTTTCAAAATTCAGTAGTATGAAGAGGAAAAACAGACAAAACRAGGAAAAATCACAGCAGACAGTTGCTGTAGAAAAAGGAAACTGTATCCTGCTGCAGTGCTCACATAAGAACTGGATCAACATAAGAATCCAGGACAAAAAGGTCATCCATCCATCAGAGATTTGATGACGCTCTTCCCAAGGCATGCAGAGGGATTTCTGTCTGCATGTCTGAGCATGGAACTGGCCTCAAACGTGGAGGGTTGCTAGTCAGGGTCGATAAAGTCTGACAGCACAATGCATTATAAAAGATCATCTAATTCTTTCTCATTTGAAGCCTTCAGAATATCTTCACTGTTTGCAGCAGGGTGCTAAATAGATGAAGCCATTTAGCTTTGGAAATACCCCTACTTTGTTTTAGGAACTGAGCCTTAGCTGATTTAAGCCACTGAAAAGCAATGTTTTCTCTCATTTGCACTCCCCCTGTGAAATTTTGTGTCCCAAAACTATTAATCCACCTTTTGAAGACTGAGGTTTGAATAATGCCAAGGAAGCAACAGCACATTCAGCACTTGGGACTTGTTCTTCCTCTGGAACTCAGAGTCTATCACTAGCTTCTCATGCCATCCCGCCACTACTTGTCCTACCACGTAGGACAAGGCGTCCTGATTCAGATACAGAGATTGGAGACCTTGCAGAACCCCCTGCTTGGATGCAGCATGTTTCTCTCCCGACCTGCTTTGTTCCTCTAAAGGTGCTATGTAAGCAAGGTCCCCCCTTCCTCTTTGCAACAGCAAAAGGCCCATCCCTTAGACAAGGAATCTTATTGTATTGCCAACTAATGCAGCTAGTCGTGTGTCAAATAGGAAACGTCTAGGATAAAAGTTCAGGGTTCTAGTTCAGGGTTCACTTGATAATTGTGTATGACAGGAAAGGAAGGATGGGGAAGCAAGAGTTACTGTAGCTATATAGAATGAAAATTGTTTATATGTTTTGTCTTTAAAGGGTGTGGAACAATATTTATAAGCTGTTATTTAAAAGATGTTATTCGGGGTACAAAATGAAGCGCACAGGAAATGTCATTTGTGTGACTCTTTAGCTAAGTGCATAGCATGGGTGCATTGGATCAGATTTTCAACAACTCTGGAATACACAGAATAATCTTGGAGAAATTGAAAACAGTCCTGGGGGAGGTAATTCAGAAACCTTTTGGACTAGACTATAATGGCAACACAAAACAAGATTAGGACTTTTCCGCCCCACTGATATATCTCTATGCAGATACTACCACTGTGACTTGTGTAGGTCAAGGTCCTGTCTCCCTGGAGAACCACCAGTTACTGAACTGGATGGATTTTGATACTGGATATTATTATACGGACTCTAGCACCCTCTAATGGTCTAATGCACTTGTTCGCTGTCTGTTGCTTTTATCATTTCCTATAAACTAGACGACTGCATTTGTAGWAGCATGAGACAAGCGTTGCTGCATAGGATCGCTTTACGCAGGCACAAGAAGCTCATGTAGTAGTTAGAAAATTCTCTACAGCCTRTGTCTGGAGCAACTCTCTCTTTATTTGTCTAATTTGCTGTTTTTTGGGTTTTTTTTTTTCTTCTGAAAAAGCTTCACCTAATGATTCTGTAGGGGCTGAGATGCAGCCTTTGTCATCGCATGACCAATGCTTTGGATAGATTTAGTGTGTGCTTTAAGGTTTATCTAGTTACCACTAGCTCTGTATGTGTGCTAAGGAGGATTGCTGCATTTTCCCAGAATAAATGACAAAATGGGCAAGCTCTGAGCCCTTCTGCAGATCACTAGGGAAGGTGAGCAGGCCTTTGGTTCTCTGTTAAGGTCACAGATTCTTGCACATCTGTGTAAGTGATAAGCAAATGATTACAATATTAGAATATAGTTTCAAAATGCCTGCTGCAGTTTGTGCACGGTTTYGTGTTAAAGATTGGAAATATAAACTGCATTTTCCAAACGTGACATTTTAAAAGACTTTTTTAAAGGACAATATATTTAAATATTTTCTACTACATGCAACTTTGCGGAGCTTTTGGACAGCGCTTGGGTGAAATGGACACGTGTCCTTCAGACGACTTCTACAGTAGGTAGGTAACTTGTTGTAAGTGCAGTAGTAGGTAACATGTTGTAAGTACAATAGCAGGTAACTTTTTTGTAAGAATTGGCACCGGCTTCCTGGTGTGGCGGGGCTGTTGATGGCAATGAGAGCAGCATCTTGGCTGCTATCAGCCGTAGCCCTTCCAGCTGTTCGCAGGGCTCGTTGGCTTCTTTGCTTACACAGTTGTGCGTGACACCTATTAGGGGAGAACCGTTCAGGTCAGAATCACAGGGCCATAGACAGATATTGTGGCGAGGTCTCGAGGTTATTTTGCGCTGAAAAGCAGCGCTTGGCCGTCTCGCCCTTCGCTGAGCTCGTGTGCGTGTGACCGAGTCTCCCGGGGCTCCCCGTGAAACAGAAGGGTTTGAACGGCAGCCATGTGGGGAGCACGGTGAAACCGGCGGCCGGACAAAAGAAAAAACGAACAGAGGGGGTCCCGGTCGCGGTGCCGAGCCGGTGCCGTTGGGGCCCGGGCCGCGGTGACGGGGCGGTGGCGCCGCCGGGGGGCG